ACAACCCTTTTCGAAGTGAATGTACTTTATGAGTCTACACTTCAGATAATCAGTCTGTCCTGGTGGATATTAACAAGTTAAACCATTAAGCAACAAACCTAAGCCCCTTTGCACTTTAACCAGGTATTGCAATGTGCAATAATGTGAGAGACATCAAGTCCTCACTTGACCTGAGCGTGTTGGCAAAATTTTTGTGACCAGATCACTGGTCTTTATATATTACTGTGTCCTAAGCCAACTTCCTATTTCAGAAATGTTCATATGCTATTGCCATTTCTAATGTTCTTTGATAGGTGTTTGTCTGTCCAGACACATTGTTGCTGGTTTTTGCCATTTTAAGACACCTCCCACTACATTTACTTTTCCAGGGAACTTTTCCCGGCTTCTCCCATTTCCAGACACCTAACTAATGAACAGAAACTAAAAAAAAACAGAAAAATAAAATATCAAACATAAAACCTCTATTCTCAACACCATATCTGTGGACCTTTATGATCCGCCTGTGCACCCCAAGTATGCATGTTGATCTCAGATGCTTGGCCGGAATAGTTGTATCTCCCGAGATCTCTACACCTGTGACACATCGACCCCACTAGCTTGCCGGAACTGGTACATCCTCTTGAGACGTTCCTTTCTACATAGATCAATGTCTTATTTTCCGCCTTTGGCGCAACCTTCCCTTCTTCATAACCTTCCTCAATTAGATATTTGGTTCTGAAAATGCCTCCAGTTGTATTCCTTTGATCTTATTCACACCTTTGCTTAATTCCTCCTGTCTTACTTTGCATTTTCCAATTCAATATCCTTGACCTATGACTTCTCTCAAAGCGCCAGGCGTTAACCACAGCCCTTATCCTTCTACCGTCTCCAGTCATATACTTAAGCCATGCAGCATACAATGCCAACATTGGGCTGAGGAGCTTTCCCAGACTGATATCAAATCTAAAAATTATTCTTTCGCCGTGTGTTGCCAAAAGGGCAAAGTCAAGTTGTCTTGCGCTGATGTTACGGCACCTCGCATCCCTGGATTTCTCAAGAACTTATTCATGGCATCAGACTCTGGTAAATTTGTTCAGCTGATAAAATAAGCCTCTTTGATTCATACCAATTTTCCAAACACCCACTAAAGAATCACAGATTTTTCAAAGATTTATTTGCGCATACAATAATTCCATCTCGTTCAGTCACTTAAAATGAGAGGAGCAGGCGGCCAGTGGCGAGGCACTGGAATTTGTGTTGAAATTTATGAGATTGTGATTGAAATTTGAAGTGGCGGCGAAGCCACCATTAGACTCTAGTCCCTTACTATATCATGACAGAGTGAGTGTGTCCCTCTATCATATTCAGCACATTAATCCTACTGAAGCTCATTTGGACAGCCAGATTGAGATTTGGGCCCTTTCTTTTTTCACACCGTGGGGAGTCAGTTTCACCCGGTGGCAATCCCCCATGATATCATGACAAACAAAGCAACCATTGCTCTCCAACCTCTGCATTGCTGTAAAACCCCTCCCCTATTGGGTTTCACAAGAGTATCACAGACAAGAATATTTGTAGTTATATTCAGAGCTGCTTGAGATCCGTACCTGGCTCCACAGAGAACTGATCCCCTATCTCTCTGAGCCAGGTAAGCCTTTTCCTTCTTATTTTCCTTTCATCATTTTTGTTCTCCTATATAGTGATTTTTATGTAGAGAGAGAACTGATCCCCTATCTCTCTGAGCCTGTAATCAAAACCACCACCGTGTTTGGTCTTAGAAACTCTTAGGCACTTCAGTCTGTTCCTCTCCGCGCCATTTCTCAGCTCATACAGTGAAGGACATATCCAGTTCTTACAATTTCACCAATGGCAGCTCACTGAGACTCAGCGGACCAGTTTGGAATCAGAATAACACGACTTGACCTATCAGTATCCTCACTTCAGCAACTGTTTGGCCACCCAAGACAGCCCAACCTGTAATTGCAAAATTCAACAATTAAAAATCTTGGTCTGATGCGCGCCAAGGGACACCAGAAAGTCATTGTAAGGGGGGAGGGAGGCACTGTGTAGCAGCGGTGGGCCGCTACGCTACGCTACGCTTTTGGCCCAAAAAGCGTAGCGTAGCGGCGCTTTTTTTGCGCCAAAATTTCGTAGTGTTAGCGCTTTTGTAGCGCATTTTTGCTATGCTACGCTGCGCTACAGCGCTTTTAGCGGAAAAAGCGGCTAAAAACCGCTGTAGAGCAGCGTAGTGGGCCCTTCTTTGCGGCCCACACGCGTAGCGTTAGCGGTGTCGAGGCGGAATTCCGCTACGCTACGCTTGACGCTAACGGGAATTCCGCTGTGTTACGCTACACTAACCGCTACGGTTAGTGTAGCGGCCCACTGTTGTGTGTAGGGCCCGTGTTGCAAGTTCATTTTGCACTTTGCACATTCCTCACCATCTTTGCTCCCTATCCTGAAGAATGTAAGTCCCAATCAGAAAAAAATAGAAAGAAGAAAACATTGTGATTAGCCTAAGAATTGTGATTATCTTACTGATCCGGAGATTGGAACTTAGAAGATCAGAAAACTTAAACAAACTGGAAATTCAGGAAATTGGGTGAACTGAGGCAAAACCCATAAGGAAAGAGGTGAATTTATGTTAAAATTAGATGGAACATATTCATCTCGAACACAACTCTGTGAGGCCTTAAATTCCATAAATCTTCTTCGAACACACCTCACAATGTCACAGCTGCACTGTTGCAAGGCCACAAGTTCTTTTCACTGCGCAGATGCCACAGCGCATTGACACTGTTGTGACAAAAGCTCTGTCGTATTCATGAGCTGGGCTACAGCATACAAAAAACGCCCCTGTCTTTGTCAGATTTAGGAAAAATCACTGCATACAAGGCAAAATTTGAACTCCTAATGTATGAATCAGGTATGATAGGGTGGAGCTTGATTATGCTGTGAACCCTGGTTTAAAGTAAGAGGCAGGTTCACAAAATTTGATCAAAACTGTGGCAGTGATTTTGGCTGCTTTATTATAACTACACTTCATATCTATCTTGGCACCGTGGTTTGGAAATGTGCTGCAAATTGCTTGAGATTCAGATTTCCACACAACTTCCCCAACCAATTGTCTGATTCAAATGGCTAAACTTCCAGGCTTTCTATAATTCCTTGATGAGTATCCTGTGACAACAAAATGCAACAAGCCTGAAATGGGTCCACTAAGTGCGTTTTGGTGTGCTGTGCCTGTTCCAATGCCGAAAGCATACAGCAGAGGTGTTGGGATAGCATAGGTACATACATGTGACAATCATTACAAGAGAAGGAACAATCATTATGGATGAGGTGTGGTATATACGGACAGGATTACATACAACACGTGGATTGGGAGAACATATCTCGACCAGGAATGGAACAAAGGAGCGGTGTGCATACAAGGAGTGGAGTGGGAGATCATATCTCAACCAGGAATGGAACGGAGGAGCGGAAGTATATACGAAGAGTGGAGTGGGAGAACATGTCTCGACCAGGAATGGAACGGAGGGGCGGTGTGTAATAAGGGTACTTTATGTTTTACGTAAGGGTACAGGGTACGGATTGTAGAAAGTGAAGGGAGGAAAAATATTGAGGCGGAGGGAGGAAGGAAGGAGTGAGGAGAGGCTTTGACCCCCAAATCCTGGGTGGAAGGAGATAACAGCAGGGCTGGCAGGCTGGTACTGCCTATGCAGAATGTTCTAGAAGACGGCTTGGTTGCCTGGCAATGCATGACATCATGCTGCACTTGTGTGCTCCCTTGCATGCATATTATGTGACAAGGTCTGGAGTTAAGTGTTCCTAGCACAGCATAAGCTGCGCTATTTGTTTGGAGGCTGTGCGCAAAGGCTGTGAAGGTGAGATCCCCTGCAGCAATATTCCCTCACAAGGAGTCCCCTGCAGCAGAAATCCCTCACTCTTCAATATGAAAAGGGCCTCTCCCCACCAGAAAGTCCCTTCTCCCCATCAACCTACAGTGGTAAGTTGGTCATAGTTAGTTAGTAGTTAAGTAGTGAGTGAGTTAGTGATAAGTAGTGAATCAGTACAGTATTGTAAGCGTGAAACCAACACAGAGTTCGGAATTTGAAGCATATTAGTAGTAGTAGTCATCATATAAGTAGTAGTACATTAACAATTAACCAATAACAAGTAGTAGTAGAATTAGTACCGGAGCTCTAGTTTTTGATTAAAGTGCCTTAGCAAGAAATTGTTCGAGGAAGAGATCATTAACAAAATCTATAACATCTCATCTGTTTTGTGCTCAAGTCATCAGCACCACAGTTTCCATTATTAACCTGAAGTTGTAACAGATTCATTAGTAGATTGATACGTGATCTAGGTCTGATAGAGATTACTTTACGAAAGTAAGATCTATCTTGGAATCAGCCATACATTATTTAAATATTGATTACAAGACTCTTATTTATTTGTTTAGTACATTTAGAGGGGCAGGTCTTTCAAACCACCCGTAAGTTGTAATAGCCTTTCAACCTGTTTGCAATTTATTTCCCCCTCAAGGGATCTTTTGATATACATATACTTTACCGTGTCTATCCGTCCCAGGAGTCCTACAGCGTCCTCCCGTGATAACACCCTGATTGATCATATTTGGAAAGTGACTGAATAAGATAATAATTTAGTGCTCATGGCATCTGTAAGATTTGTTCCAGTGATAACTTCTTAGTGTGATTGGTGTTGTTAGACTAAACAATCATGATGTGCATCTGAGAATGTTTTCCAGGTGGTGTTTCTTGTCACATTGCTGGTTTTCAATGTGTTTACCCAGTAAGGATTCATCTTCATCTGGAGTTTTCTTCCCGCTCATAAAAAATCATCTCATATTGATATCTTGGATGTAACTTCAATCAACAAGAGGGAATGTTGAGAAAATTGAGTGAGTTCTCTGAAAGTAGAACTTGACTTCACTGTGCCCATTAGATTCAAACTATGCATTTCTTTGGCTAGACAATTTATATCCACATCTTTTGGATAGTTCAATCCTTGAGGGGGGCAAACATGCCACCTGTCAACCAGCTCTGCTCAAGGTTGATGATAACTTTTTCATGGGTGCAATGATAATCGCACTCCCCTCCCCTCCCCGCACGCCCACGCCCCCGCCCCTCGGAAGCGTGTTTTTTCAAGAAAAATACATCAAAGAAATTGCTTGGTTGTGTTGAATTGTCGATGAAGATCTTTCCTTGAGGCGGAGGAAGCGGTTGCGGAGGAAACCCTACATCATAATTGCTCAACTGAGTTGCTGGCATCAAACTGACTCCTCCCAGCCAAGTCCCTACTTCAGTAATGTCACGTGGACTGATTATCGGTTTATAGTTTCTGTAGTAATCTTCCTGCAGTTCACTATAATTTGGGGGGAAAGCTGATAGTGGCAGGGTATAGAGTGGTATCGGAAGCTGTGGATGAAAAGTGTCAAATCCACGACTGGAGCAGGTAAATTTAAAACCAATCAGATTCATTCGAACATGCAAATTGGATCATGTTAGTGACCCGATAAACGATTTGCTCACTAAAGACCTTCGGCGCTCCACCAAAAATGGCTGGTTGATCTGCGGAATAAACTGATGTAGAAGGAAGAGAATGAGGATCAAGAATAATTTACAAGAGGAATTGGAGAATGTTGACAATGTGCTCTTACTCATCGGAAACTCCATTTAGAGAATTACAAAACTTTGCCTTCAGTGTACTATTACCAATGAAACAAGTCCCGCAAAAACTGCCAAAGGAAACAAACGAGTTTCCATGATTAGAATCAAAATGCATGGCTGCCAGAATGAGGATTGTAAGCTGGCTAAGATCTTACATGTACTGATTGTTTGCATCTTGGAATTGGTAAGTTGACTTGACAATGTTGGCCTGAAATACACGGCGGGCAAATCAACTGGTGCAAGATACAAATTCAAGAGCGTTGAATACAAGATGAAAAACAACTCACTGTGCCGTTTGTTGTTTCTCCTCTATAGAAGAAACCTGTAGTGACCTTCCTTGATCCTACATTGGGTTGGTCTCCAACCTCCACCAGGGTCCATTTGAATGACATATTCGAGCGGGTAGCAATTTGAAGATGGTCCACTGAGATCTTGGTAGCTTCGTTTTCGTTGGGGGGGATCACCATGAAAAAGTTGTCATCAACCTTGAGCAGAGCTGGTTGGCAGGTGACATGTTCTCCTCCGTCAAGCATGAAGTTATCCAAAAATCGAGCGGATAGAAATGGTCTGCCCAGAGACAGCATAGTGTAAATATGGGGTTTGGAATGCAGTCAAGTTCAAGCACTGGACAACCCACTCGCTTTTCTCAACCTTTCCTCTAGTTGATTGAATTCAAGAAGTCAGCATGATGTGATGTTCGGTGAGTGGGAAAGAAAAATTAAAATGGATGTGGCCTTACTGCGTAAATACATTGAAAACAAGCAATACGGCAAAAACCATCACCTGGGAAACATTTCCAGGTGCACATCGTGATTTGTGAGTCTAGCTACACACTCAAAAGAAATTATCACTAGGAGACAGGTCTTACAGATACCATGAGAACTAGATGAATATCCAAATCAGTCACTTTTGATATATGATCAATCTTGTTAGCACCAAAAGGACGCACTGAGTGGACCCATTTCACGCTTGTCGTACTTTTTCGTCACGGGATACTCATCAAGAAATGAAAGAAAGCTTGGAAGTTGCATCGTCTTCATAGCTTAATCCTGGGTTTCCGCTTGAGTCAACTTTTAATGAAATTTTGCAACGAGAATACTTTGGTTAAGATGGAAAAGTGGTTGGTGAAACGATGTGGCAATCTGAATCTCAAGCACTTTTTGAACCCAACGTGTCCAGATATATCTAAAGTGCAATCGGGATGGAGAGGCCGAAACCACTGACATGGACTCCAGCCAATGCCGGCAGCCTGAACCTTACTGTAAACCTGAGTGCGACAGCATACTCAAGCTTCATCATATCATATCCGAGTCATGCATTCATAGGAGTTCAAATTGCGGTGTCAAATTGTGCCTTTGATGCAGTGATATTTCCTCAAGCTGACGAAGAGAAGGGCATTCTCTGGCATTCTGCGTACACGTAGCTCAGCTCGTGACTCCGCCAGAGTTTTAGTCACACCGGTTTCAATGCAAAACCAATCTCGCTGTGGCAGCAGTGCCGCGAAAAGAACCTCAGACCTCGCACCGGTGCAGCTCTGATATCGCGAGGCGTGTTGTAAGCAGATTTACGGAATTTCAGACTTCACAGAGTCATTCAAATCCACCTCTTTCCCACGAGTTTTGCCTCAGTTCATCGAACATTCATTTCCCCTGTAACTAGAGTTTTCATCTCCTCCAAGTGCCAGTCTTTGGATCAGTAAAGCTCAGGCAATCACAAAATTAATTTGAAGGCAAGTTCCTTTTTTAATTTTTTTTCTTGCGATTAAGATTTACAAACTTCAAAATCGGGAAGAAAGAAAAGATGAGCAACGTGCAAAGTGCAAAAAAGCCTATAACAGGAGCCCCCCCCCCCCCTTTGAGTAGCTTTTAGGTGCCCGTTGGCGTCCGTCAAGCCAAGATTATGAGTGCATTTAATGCGAATTACGGCTTTGGGTAGGTTGGGAGGCCGACCATGATTGAGCAGTCATGTAGTGCGGGCTTGAATCTCTTGAAGTCGGATGAGCAGAAGTTGACAGAATTGAGCCAGTGGATGAAAACATGAGAACTCAAGCCTCTCTATTAAGAGAAGCGGTCCTCCATGCACCAGGGGGACTAGTGTTAATTTCGATGAAAACAGGAGTTGAAGTGGGGATAGGGCCGGCTGTGCTATTCCAACTCCAAACTGGTCCGCCGAGTGGGCTACCATTAGCACGATGCCGAGGTTGGGAAAGACAACTTCAATGGGTTTGCCACGATATGATCACGGGGGATTGCCACCGGGTCAAACTGCCCATGTTGTGAATGAAGAAAGGGCCCCAGTTTTGATCTGGCCCGCCGAATGAGCTACCAGTACTATTGGAGGAAGCCGGAGAGACTGAGAGACACACTCACTCCCTCTTGAGATAGAAAGGGCTTACCACCGGGACGGACCGAGTATCTGAAGTGTGGACCAATAGAAAACATGATTTCACTCCTAATGTGATCTGCTGAGTAAAGTACCATGAGCACGGTGAAGAGGCCGAAGAGACAAGTGCTTCGTTCGTCTTTGAGGTGAGAGGGCTTGGAACCACGAGATGGCCAGCTTTGTTAATGATCGCGATTTTGAATTAGTTCGCCGAGTGAGCTACTATACATCATGGCGCGGTAATCAACTCGGTCCATAGTCATACTCAGATCAGGGGGCTGAGAGAGAACCTGGACTGGTCGTGCGGTTATGTGGTATTGCTCTCATCTTTTTGGCCAGGACCGGTCTATAAAAGGAGGAGTGTCTCTGTCTCCCATCATCTTTCTCTCATCACAGTTCATCACTTGATACCGTCCACCAACTCACTCGATTGTTCGCGCTCTTGAATTCTAACACCTGCTATCCACCCTCAAAATACAAGAATCGCTTGCTAATCTCCACTCCTGCAGCGGTGAACTCTTCAACCGTGCACTTGTCCTCTCAACAAAATGGCACGTACTCAATCCTCATCGCAGCCCGGCTCTTGCATCAAGACTTGTGCCTCAAATTAAGTCTCGAATCGCAGCCCCAGTACCTTATCAAAGCATGACGAACAACACCAACAAAGCAGCAACCGCATTGAATTCAAAGGCCATCAGATTAGCTACACCGAGACCCGTCGAAGCGTCTCTCCTCATGCTTCAACCCGTCGAAGCGTCTCTCCTCATGCTTCAAGTCCAACTCAAACTTCCAGCCAAAAACAGCGACCAACAAGATCTCTAATTCTGCAAGTCAGTCTCCTATGGCCCTATCCTCACCATCCTTTTTTCTCTACTTTGACCGGTTCAAGAGGTAGTGAGAAAGTGCTACAAACAATCCACCTTGAGCAATACTTCTGATTAATGAAACCCATTCAAAGAAAAAGTTGAAGAAGATCAGCTCATCTGTGAATCCTGATTCAAAGAAATTTTACAGCTTATCCTTGGTGCTCACCTAACATTCATACTGCGGCTCACAAATACTATATTGGCTCGAAAAACAAATCAAACCATCAAGTCAATAATGATCTTCTCTCAATATTCCTGCAACATAATGGGGGGCTACAAGTACGTGGATGATGCTGATGACAGACAAAAACTGCATCTTCAACAAAAGTCTCCAATCAATCTTACAACCACAGCCACAGAAACCAATGATCTGATCCCCATGCTAGGATTGATTTCCTTGAATTTGAGATATAGTTGATCATATGTTTCATCTTTCAGTTGAAAGCATGCATAAAATCATGAACTTCAAATTTCTTCTCCTTACAAGTTACAATCAATCAGCATGAGGAAATTGAATTATTTGATTAGATGATCACTGAATCCAACAGCAGAACTTGGATAAAAGTTGTATTGAAAATTCAACCAATTTGAACTTTTGATTGTGGTAGATGGATAGAAAAGAGTTAGGCCCTGTTTGTTAGTGCAATTTAGCACCGTAATGTAGCAGTGTAATGTGTGAAAACCCCACAAAATTGGACAGAGTTTGAGTGGATTTTACACATATTACACTTGCACAAAATTCTGAAAAAGGTAGCCTTTCAATTGATAAACAGATCAATATTTTATTTTTCAAATTTGATTGGAAAGTTCCTATCTAAGAACAACAACAGCAAAAGAGAACAGGAGGTAGAAAATTCAAGTGAGGCATCAAAGCATTCATGATATCTAGTAGACTATAAATTTTCCCATGCCAGCCATTTTGAATGATTCATCTTCATACAATGTCTACATTTTGATTGTCAAGGGTATCGATTTTGGTCTGAGTAGCTTGGTCTATTCTCTGGTTCTCCTTACGCCTGTCATATTGACGAGCAAACTGAAACCAAAAACACAAGCCTGAAAGTCAGCTTGAATTTTTCTTCACAGAGTCATAAAAGATTTTCAGCTGATTTCGAAGAAAAAAATTAAAATAAAAAACCAACAGCAACAATGACATAAGAAAAAATTGCCGAAAATACACCTGCGGAGCTCCCCATCGTGACCGACAAAATCTTTAGGACAGGAAGCCAAACTTTTGTAGTCTTAGTACATAAATAAGTAGCTCCTATTGTCTTTCTGTGTAGATCATCAGCTGCTAAGTCCATTATCCAAACGTTGAATGAAAGTGAGTGGTTGAACATTGATGACAAAGCTTCAGGTATAGTTCCCAGAGTCTTGTCGTGAGATCCAAATGGTACGATTGGTCCAATACCATTGACTGTGATTCTAAAAAAGCTACAAAATTGATTTTGGCATGAGGTATGATAGGAAGTGTTGAATGCATCAAAGAAACTAGTTGGTTGTGTTGAATTATCCATGAAAATTGTTCCTTGAGGCGGAGGAAGCAGTTGTGGAGGAAACTTTATATCATATCTGCTAAACTGAGTTGCTGGTATCAAACTTAGTCCTCCCAACCACATTCCCATTTCTGAAATATCACGTGGACTGATTGTTGGCTTATAGCTTCTGTAGTAGTCTTCCTGAAATTCGGTATAATTTGGGGGGAATGCTGATAAGGGCAATTTGTAGAGTGGTATAGCAAGCTGTGGATGAAAAGTATCGAATCCACGACTGCAGATGGTAAATCTCAAACCTATCAGATTCATTTAAACATGTAGAATCAATCAATTCAGTGAAAAAGATAAAGGATCTGCTCACTAGATATTTTCAGCGCTTAACCAAAATTGACCAGTCGATTTGCGGAATAAACTGATGTGAAATGATGTAGAGATGACTCAAAAATTATTCATGCAACAACTTTAAGAACTTTGTGGAGTGCTCTTACTCGTCTGATACTGCACTTAAGGAATTGCAAAACTTCGCCTTCAATGTATTATTACCGATCAAACAAGTGCCGCAAAAGCTGCCAAGGAAAACAGACGGGTTCCCATGATCAGGACCAATTAACTCCATGACTGTCATTTGTTTTCTGTGTAGATTTGGTGTAAGTCGGCTAAGATCCTACATGTACTGCATGTTGGCATCTTGAAATTGGTAAGTCGACTTCACAAAATTGGCCTGAAACAAATGGCAAATCAACACGGGCAAAACATGAAATCAAGAGTATTAGATGAAAAATTAACCCACTGTGCAGTTTATTATTTCTCCTCTATAGAAGAAACCTGTAGCTGCCTTCCTTGATCCTGTATTGGGTTGATCTCCAACCTCCACCAGGGTCCATTTGAATGACATACTTGAGTGGGTTGCACTTTGAAAATCTTCTACTGAACTCATGGGAGCTTCATTTTTGTCTGGGGGGATGACCATGAAGAAGTTATCATCAACCTTGAGCAGAGCTGGTTGACAGGCGACGTGTTCGCCCCCCTCAAGAATCGATTTATCCAAAAAACGTGTGGATATAAATGGTCTTCGCCAAAAAAAAAAGGTTGCGTCAATCTGGCGGTTGGCATGCAGTCTAGTTGAACTTGAAGTGCTGGATAACCCACTCGCTTTTCTCAACCTTTCCCCTAATTGATCGAATTCAATAAATCAGCACGATTGGATGTCTTGTGAGTAAGGAAAGAAAAGTCAAAATGGAAAGGTTGCCTTACTGCGTGAACACGTTAAAAACAAGCAATGCGACAAGAACCACGACCTGGATAAGATCATGTTCAGGTGCACATCGCACTCAATGAGTCTAGCTTCATGAGTTATAAAGAGAAATCGTCGCCAGCAGATAGATCTTACAGATGCCACAACAACTGAAACATAATCTAAATTAGCTACTCTTCAAATCCTTGGGCATTAACATAAAAGATTCACCCACTTAGTGGACCCATTTCGCGCTTGTTGTATTTTTTTGTCATGGGATACTCATCTAGGAAAGAAAGAAAGCCTGGAAGTTGCTTCATCTTCATAGCCTACTCCTGGGTTTCAGTTTATTTAAAATTTCGGTATCCCAACGAGATTTGTAATCAGGTTCGGAGTCGCTTTGATTCGGACTGGAAAATTGGACGATGGAGATAATGTGTGGCGATCTGAATCCGGAGAAAATTGCAACCAGGTTCCAAATCAAGGCGCCAAGATATTTATAGCGAATGAGCATTAAGCAGCCAAAATCACTGGCATGGTTTCCATCCCGTACCGCTTGCTGTGTACCTGTGTGCGACAGAACCTGACAGAACATTCACCATATCATATCGGAGTCAAACATTTATTTGGAGGTTGTATATTTTTGCAAGCTGACAAAGACAGGGGCATCCTGCCCGGCTCATAACTCCTCAAGAGCTTACATAAGACAACCCTTTACATTACATATTTCCTGCTGTGGGAGGCCGTGTCACCAAACAGACTCGTATCCTCACATCACTGCATCTGTGACCCCATGCCAAAAAAGCTGGATGCAACCAGATTTAAGGCTTCACAGAGTCATGTGTGGGTAGAAACGTTTTTTTTTTTTACCTCAGTTGACCAACACATCCTTAAAATGATTAGTGGGTGGTGCGCGCATCACTAAATTCTGAAGGGGATTTGGGTATAAGGGACAGTCTTGACGGACAAAATACACTGGCGGGGTACCTCTAACCACCCTGGAAGGCATTGCTGAATCAAACCGGGCTGATGGTGAATTATACAGCTATCTATCTTGGATGGCAGAAGATGACTTTGCGGGCTTGGAATATCCCTGGATGTGGATTTCGGATGAGCACAACTGAGAGCTGAAGTGAGGATGTGTTGCTCCGACTCCGGACTGGTTCCCCTAGTGAGCTACCTATCGGCGCAACGGAGAGGCCGGAGAGACCGGATCACTCGGTTCGGCGTGATACGAGGGGGGCTGGCCACCGGGTCAAACTGACTACCCTGAGGATGCAAAGTGTAATCCAAGAAAGCGCCCCAATTTCGAACTGGCCGAGTGAGCTACATACCACCAGCACGATCGAGTACATATATATTAGCGCAATGGAGAGATTGAGATAGGGAGGGCTCGCCACCCGGATAGACGGCCTCTCCGCAGTGTGGACTAATACAGTGGGGCGATTGCATTCTTGTCCGGCGGCGAGTGAACGACCATGGGCGCGGTGAAAAGGCCGAAGAGACAAGCGCTTCGTGATCGTCGGACGTGTCAACCAAGAGTTAGTTGACTGGTCCGCCGAGTTAACCACTATGCAGGCCGGGACCCTTCTCCGCTCTTAATTTTAGTGTCAATATGTACCTCTTCTTCTTACGCTAGTTCTGTTCGATCTGATGATGATTGTTTAGACTCTTTCACCGACTCCTCTACTCCAGTTGTCAGCTTAACTATTGGGTCGAATGCGTTCAGATTAAACCTGTCGTTCTGCTTCACTTCAGTCACCTCCTATGGATTCTCTCGTTTTTGTACCAGCTCTGCAATCTTCATTTTCTTTTTACATTCCGTATCAGTATTTTCGTGTCAGTTCACTATCTGTTTGCAATTCTTTTCGCCTTTTTTTCAGTCGATGCATCTGTATCTTCTCTCTCTTTCCCTCTCTTTAATTGTTAAAGTTTTAGAAGTATCAGTATCATGTGTCGATCTACGCAGATCATTTTGTTCCCTTTCTTGATGAGATGGACTTTGTTTAAGAGCACTATGAGTACACTCTGGGCTGTGGAGACTTCATTTTCGAATGAGTGATCGACCTGATCCCTGGGCTTGAAGCACTCCCCAAAGTTAAAAAGAACCCAACCAAAAACCAACTAACGACCAACATGAACCCAGTCATCCTCATCTCACTCCTCATCACCATCCAATCAGTCTTCATCAAACTAATCTCATCAACCTGGTCACCACTCACCAACCTACTCTCGATCCAAATCAGATCACTCTCCTACCTCTTCCTCAGATGGATACCAGCACACCATCTCCCGATCGCCATCCCATCCCTCTTCTTAATCTACGCTCTGGCTTGGTCTCAACATCACTCTCAATTGAAACAAGCGTACTCCGAGGAAGAATCAGATGATCCACAAGAAGAAGAAGAACAAGATCAACGAGAAGATGATATCTTGAACGAGGATCACCTTCCAGTTATCTCCTCAACCCCTCAAAACACGCCACCATCATCCATCTCAAAATCAAAGAAGAACAAGAAATCAAAAAACAATCCTCAACAACAATCTCCAAACGATCTCACAACCACAACCACAGCAACAACTTACACAGAAACCGACCATCTGATCCCCAAGCCAGGATCCAACATCAAGAGGAAGAAGACAACTCAAAAGCAGAAGAATCCCAATCAACAACACCCGAACCATCCCGTCAAGTCCTTCCTCAAATCGACCATAGGACTCACCACCACCAACACATCAGCCAACAAATTCACACTGATCATCAACACCATCCTCACCTTATTCTGCCTCGATGCGACGTTTCGGACGAGTGTGTTGGATGGACAGGAGGATTTAAGCTTCAGTAGAGTCGCGGCGATCGGCGAAACTTGGGCCAAAGTCCATGCTAGAATCCCTCCTATTGTCTATCCTTCTTCTTCTTCTTCTTCTTCTGAAAAACAAGAAACCGATTTTACTACCGGTGGTGCTCAGCTCGTTTATCGGCCGATGAAGCCGATCGGTAATTGGTTCATCGGGCCTCAGTTGATCTCCACTAATCAATCCGATTGGATGACTGTAGGAAAAATCGACAATCTGATCCCTGGTAACGCGTATGAATGTTGGTCAAAAATACTCATCCCACCTCGAGAAACAAAGAAAGACTAATTGAATGATTGATCGAAGATCGATTGAATTTATTGGACGCGGTTCTCGAGCCTCATCCGTACTTCGACTCTGTTGGGCACTTCCAAACCGCGCCTGATTCGAGCAAACTAAGCGATCCTAGAGCGGATGGTGGATCGTTTACATTTGCCTACAGTAGTTGCATCAAACGTAAGTCATGTATTTAATAATAATTCAACAGCCATTCTAATCTTCCTTTTCCTATTATGGATGTAGCCGGATTTCCATACAATCCATTCCGGAATCAATTACATAATGATGGCGCAGAACAGTTAGCCGAACAGGCCCGGAAACTCAAGTTGGATTTCGTGCTCTTCTTGGGCGACTTTATTTATATCGATTCCCCTATCTATCTGGGCAACTCGATTCGTCATTACTGGAGGAAATATCGTCAAAGTTTGTCGACTACTGGCTGGAGAAAAGTCCGTTCATTCTTTGATATTATTTATCGCATCTTTTTGAATATACAAGAGAAAAGAAATGGATTAAAATTGGGCTGAAAAATACGACCTGTTTTTTTAGCTTATGCAATTTACGAGAACTATTCATATTTATGATGATCATGAGGTAATTACAAAGCCCCTTCTCAGATAATCTTCCAAAAAAAAAACGAAGGAAATAAGTTAACAAATAAAATAACTTCTTTACAACCGAAAAAAAAATGGAAAAACAGATATATAATGATTGGGCAGGAAAGGGGAACGACACGAATGAGATATTCGAACCAGCGAACAAAGCCTATCGAGACTATCTAGGAGAAGGAAACTTTGATGGGCCAGGAAAGGGGGAGAATTACTATTGGTTTCGGTATGGAGATGCGGGATTTTTCGTCTGGGATTGTCGCAGGTATCGCAGCTCGAATGAGCAGGTGGATGATCATTCCAAAACGATGTTAGGAGCTGAACAGAAGCAAGTTTTCTTGTCTTGGTTACATGCTGTACGCTTCTTCTCTTGTTTGTTCCAAACTTTTTTAAAAAAATTGTTGCCGTTGCTGAGAATATCTTGACTGGGTTTGTAGGTTAACTCAACTGTCACTTTTAAATTCGTTGTCTCTTCTACTCCCTTCATGAGTTTATGGCTCGGCCCAGATGGCGGAGTAGACACATGGGCAGGCTTCTTAACCGAACGAAGTGAACTACTGGATTCGATGCAATACGTCCCTAACTTGATCGTCTTATCTGGGGTATCTATTCATATTCTCATTTAATCCTTTCTCTCCCTCTCTCTTTCTATTTCTCTCTGACAGATTGAATGTTTTTTTAGGATCGACATGAATTCGCGGCAGCTAGTATTCGAGATACAGTCATCGAATTCTCCACTTCTCCTCTGAATCAGTTCTGGTTACCTATCCGTACTTTAAGTCAAGAAAACGGTTTAGGTAAGACTGGGGAAGATAAATTGATGAAATATATCCCGAAGTTCGTCCTTCCCTCCCTTGTTTTTTCTTATCTCTCCTCTCATAATCTTCTGTGTGTGTTTGATGATTGACTCATATGGTTTGTTTTTATCGGACTTAGTGGGATCCATAAGTTTTCTACTTTGAATGTGGATTGTAGAGATCCTATGAAGCCGGTTGTCAACTTCAAATTATTTATTGACGATGAACTTAGTTGGGAGTTGCGTACACAATTTTCTTTTCTCCTTTTTTTTTGGGGGGGGGGGGGGGGAGAGACTTGAGATATTTTGATAAATAGACACATCGAACTGATTGTTTTGTGGGTTTGATTAAATGTAGATTGAAGTATCTAGGAAAGCCAGTAAAAGAGGAGCCTAAACAATTAGGACAACTGTTACCGACATGGACCCAGTTCCTGAACCTGATCAAACGTCCAATCCAATGGTTCTCTAGTGACTCGCACACCAGGGCTCCTTCCTTGACGCCCTCTTCCTCCTCAGATGAACCTTCTGAGGAAGCATCTTCTGATTCTGAGAATGCCTCTGAGGAAGAAGGACCGCTCAATCATGCTGAAAGTTCAGCTAGACCTATCGACGATGAAATCTAATTCAATCCCCCCCCCCTTCTTTTATATATATATATATAGTACTTACACATCACTCTTTTCTTCTCCTTTTTGGTGAAGCATCGGTTCTTCCATCTTCTCTCTTTGTCTCTCAGTTGTCTTCTCGTATCGTCTTTCTCTCTCCACCTCTCCTCACCTTCAAAAAAAAACATGTTTGTTTATAAGTAAATCAATCAAATTATAAAACTCTAGTTCAGTTGATACATGTTCAATTTTTATACACATCTTCTTCCCCTTCTCCTTTCTGTTTTGTATTGGCCTTTCTTTTTTTTTCAAAAAAAAAGAAAACTGTTCTCTGTGTCTTTTTTCCTTTCCTTCTGTCTGACTATTCTTCCAAATTAGTCAACCAAATGGTGTGCTAAGATAGTTGGTGATTGAAACCCAAGGCCACACAATAAAAACATCTTTACACTTCTGGTGTATGTACATCATAGGGAGCTATGTACGTATGTATGTATGCATAGTGTCTGTTTCCTTCAGTGGTCAAACAGTTATCTTTGTTATGATTTATAACTCAACTATGTACAGTATCCTCCCAGATGTTTATGTCTGGGGGTGAACTGTCACAAGTTGACTTGCACCCGCACACTAAACTGCAGTGTGCGGGTGCAAGTCAACCTCTTTGCCTCAACTCATTGGATCACCAAATCATCAACAATCAACCTCCGAATGAAGTCGATACTCGGAAAAACATCGATACCGATCAAGATTGATACCTTGAACAGCATTGATACACTCATGAGGTTTGCATTTCTATTGCTATTTTCTTCTTTTTTCTTTTTCATCTTCTGATTTTTTTTCTTGTTTTTGCATTCATCGTGACCAGGAACTCATGACATATACGAGGACGAACCAACCTCACGACCGGCACATCCATGAGCCGATTGCCAAGTCGACGATGTCATGCCACGATACAGTTGAGGAGGTCGCTGGCTCCCCTCCGACACCCACTTGGCCAGACGGCCCATCCACAATCACTCGGCCAGATGGCCCATCCGATCATCCTAAAAGACCATCTGTGTCCCAGCCATCAACGGTGCCCCATCTTCAGGTCAACCAGCAGCAACAACCCCACCGGATGCACCTGGTTGTGGAGGCCTCTGGTGGGCCAATCAAATATTTTTTTTTGTCTTTATTTTTTATTTTTTTGCTTTTTTTATTTCATAATCATTATCAACCAGATCCCAGCTACCCTCCCCACTTGATTTTGTATTTTTTAAAAAATTATTAAAGAAAATAAAAAATTTGAATGATGCTTTCATTTTTTTGAAATGTAATGAATTTTGCTTTTTGTTTTTTTTGTTTCATATTCCTTTTTATCATCCCCCTATCCACCACTCCACAAAAACTCAGAATTTCATGTGTGATAGTTTTTTTTTAAATAAAGTAATCGATGTGTCATAAACAATTGGGAGGATACTGTACATAGAACCTGATGTTTATTTATGTGGTGATTCCATTTCTTCCTTTGTCCATTCATCCCAACAACATTTTTTCTTCTTCTTCTTCAGTTGGATCAGTATGTACTGTTTTACTCTAGAGAAACAAAAAACATGTTTTATTTGATGAGACTTTTGATGTTGGGATCATCTTGTTTTTTAGTCAATTTTGGATATATCATGTACAGCCCCTTGACAGAAAAAATGGAACCCTTTAATTGGAGTCTAGAGGCCAAACCAATGGACTTCAATTTATGCTTCCTGGTGAAACTGTGGAGAATGAGTTCTAAAGAATGATTCTGAAAAATTGAAACGGAAAATATTTTGTAAATATTTTGTATGTTTTTCCCCGTTTTCTGATTTTTTGGGTATTTTTCAATCATTTTTCAAAGTAGCTCAGAAAATTATGATCGATGCAATTGCATGTGAAAAGAATGATTATAAATGAAAAATCAAAAAAAAAAAATGATCAACAGCTTTTTTAAGCATGTTTGGATTGTGTCATCCACCAGACCAACCCTGCAATCAGGCACTGAAATTGAATTCAATTTCAATATCAATCCAACTTCTTCAGCTCTCTAAACTTGGGATCATTGATTTTTCTCAATTTTTCATTTATAATCATTTTTTCTGAATGCAATTGTGTTGATCATAATTCTCTGGGGCTACTTTGAAAAATGATTGAAAAATACCAAAAAAAATCATAAAATGAGGAATAACATACAAAATTCTTACAAAAGATTTTCCATTCCAATTTTTCAGAATCATTCTTTGGAACTCATTCTCCACAGTTTCACCAAGAAGCATAAATTCAAGTCCATTGGTTTGCCCTCTAGACTCCAATTAAAGGGTTCCATTTTTTCTGTCAAGGGGCTGTACATACCTATGGTAGGTAACCAATACTTTTTTGGCACAGGACATGGTGCAAATTGGTGAACCGCCCTAGCTAAGGCATCATCCGATTGACAGATAAGTACTAAACTCTTACATACTACTGCTCTCCACTGTGTCATGCTACAATGAGTGAGATCTTTTGGTCTATCCAATCTTATTTGGAGTGGATTGATCCTGTCTTTAGTCTATCTTCAAGCTCATCATCCGTCTTTCAAGGAAAAATATCTGAAACTGAAGCCAGGTGGAAAGTGAGATGGATTCCCCAAGCTGCTTATATTAGACTTGAACACACAAAGATGTTGGAAACTCCCTACAAAACCACACCACCTCAGCAAACAACAAAAAAAGAGCCATGCCCTTGTCATAAGGTGACTGGTCTATTGGACAGGCTTCTCCTTAATCAATTCAAGCTGCCATGGTGCACAGCAGCCTCAGACTGAGGTTCCAAATGGGCCGGGTTTGGTTCAAAAAAATGGTCACCAAACACACCCCATCAAATTCTCAGGGCGGATTGGGTGGGAAAAAAAGATGCAAAATGTTGACCAAACCTGGCCCAAATACACAGTGCCTTGGGTTGGGTTGGGTCTAGGTCAACCCAGCAAATAATCACTTTGTTTCTTTTCAACTGGGTAAGTGGGTCAATATTGATTCTTGAGTCAACCCAAATACAATTCAGTCTGATCATACCCGCCCCGCTGACCTGTTGAGTTGAATATGGGTTGGGTCAATTTCCAACCCTAGCCTGCTCAAACCTGTCCTGTGACCCGCCGGGTCACAAGTACCCAGTGGGTTGACCCGACCCACTTGGATCCTGACCTCAGACCAGTGTGCTTGCCAGTCTCAGTGTTGCATCTGAATTGAGTTCAAGGCAGATCTTGACAGACCTGCTCAACATGTGGCTTGCTGGGAGGTTGCATCCAGGTGCAGAGGGACTTCCAGTCAATCCCCTTAAATGGTGGATCAGACAAGGGCATTGTGGAAATGAACCACTTCCTGTAAGTATCTGCAGGTCTCCCAGAAGGAATTTAGTGCCTTGAGAATTAGATCTTCCAGAAGAATTCTAGGCTTTTTGGGCAGGATTGGATGCCTAATCTAGTCCTCCCAACCACACCAGTTTGGATTAGATGGGACTAAATTTAGCTCTCGGGTCAGTTTTGGAGTGAGTGGGTATCAAACTTGTTCCCTGCTAACTCTAGGATTAGTGAGCTTGTTAATCCACTCAACCAATGCAGATACTCTTAGAACCATAATTCAGGTTTTCTGTTCCCCAAATTTTACAGTTATTGAACATTTTTGAGTAGCTTTGATATTGCTCCAAATGAAAGAAAGCAAAAAAAAAAAAAACAGGAATTTGCAGTATGGTATGCTGGAGGAATGATAATGAATTGAAATTTTGAACAAAATAACTAGCAAATGGTTTTGAACTGGTGTAGAGTGAGGCATTCATTGGACTCACAGTGGAAAAGGCAGTGTGATCAAATTCAACTTGCATTTTGACCTGGATGCTGATCTCTGAATGATTTCTGGTGTTGATTTTTTCATTTATTATCATTCTTGCATACCATTCTACTCTTTCAAATTTTTAGTTTAGCGTTCAGAGCAATATTAAATTTTAAAAATTATATTTTTCAGAAACATTTTTTTGAAACCTATTTTATACCACTTTCCCAAGTCTCATGACTTCAATTTGGTGGGCTGAGTTTGTGCAATCCAAACAAACCAGCCATAAACAACTGGTAGGTGACTGTACAGCCCCTTGACAGAAACAACGGTGTAACTGATGTGATCACTGTGAAAAAATATCATGTAACTGGCAGCAGTTGACATGTGGGAACTCCAATGAAACTTGTGTTTCAACTCAAGAGTTACTTGAGTCAAACCTTGATGCACAGTCACTGTGCAGAAAAACTCATTTTGGAATAAGTCTCTGTAATAACCAAGTTACAGTGTAACTACCCCACATGTCAACTGTAACCAGTTGAATGAGAATTTTTTCACAGTGGATGCATGTAAGGATGGTAATTGGGCTGGGTGTCCAACAGGCCTCCCAAGTCCCAAGCCCAAGCGGGATTGCACCCCTGTTTTTTTTTTTTTTTTTTGGGGGGGGGGGGGAATTCTCAACTTAGGCCAGGCCTAAGATGGCCCGATTAGATTTAGGGTCTAGGCGGGCTACCCTTTGGGCTGGTGCAGTTGGGTGCAGAGTCACAGACCCTGGCGCTCCCACTTGGTCCAGTCCAATACGGACCTATCCCCCTGAGTCTGACCTTTGGTTTTACCAAGACCCCACCCTGGCCTGCTTTGGTCCGCAGGCAGCCCGGATTTCCTCCTGAATGGCTGCCCGCAGGCGGCCTGTGGGCATCCCAATGGTTAATTGGGTTTGGGTTGGGCTGCTGATTCCCTGAATGAGACCCAGCCTGGCTTACCCAGCACAGTGCAGACCTGAGACAGGCTGGCCCAAGGTAGGCCAAGCCCGCCTGATTACCATCCTTATGTGCATGCATAGGTATCACATTACATCAGGCCATTATTGCATTCCATCAAGGGAGTAATCATTGAGTCTTTTGATACAGAGCATTGGCATTGCATTGATTCAGTGATGTGATGTGATGCACTATGATTTGCCCGCATCCATTTGCATTGTTTTCTGATACAATGCCAATGCAATGCATGGATATCAAATCAACATGCATCACTAAAACAATTTGATGCCAATACATGGCTATTTATCACATTGCATTGCATTGTTTCACTGTTGACATAAATGATGAAACCCCTCTATGCAATTCAAGCAGGCAGGGGTTTGGGTTTTTCTGTCAAGGCCGGGATGTACAGTGCCTGGCCTTCACTGTGGGGTGGGAGACCTCCAAAGATGGACAAACACAATTCCTGTAAACCAAACAAAAAACCTTGAGTCAAGATGTCTGAAGTCAAAGATCAGATCGTGCAGGCAATCTTGACATACCTGTTGCCAGCTGAGCAAGCTTACCAACTGGGAACCTAAGATTGTGTTGAAGTC